CACTGTGCATTTCTCTTTTGCAACCTAGAAATGCACCCTGCAAAGAAAGCTACAAGTGGCGGGAAATAATTTAGCAGTGCCGAAGCGCACACAAACAAAAATCACACCCTTGGGTTGTGACAGTCTACAGGGCAGGGCTCTAACACACTTGCGATCTGACACAGCGTTTCCCAACCTTTTTCACCCCATGGCACACTTATATGGCCTCCGCACCTCATGGCACACTGGTCAAGGGGGAGGGAGGGAGGGGTGGCGAGCAGCTGAACGATGGGGAGGGTGGGGAATCAGGTGGCAAGCAGCTGAATGCTGCTGACAGGTGGGAGGGGTGGGGGCAGGTAGTGAGCGGCAGTGTGTTGCAGATTGAGGAGGGGGAGGTAGTGAGCAGCAGGAAGTGGGTGGCACGGTGTGGCTGCCCACAGCAGCAGGTGTGGGGCGTGGCTCCACCCCAAAATGCCGTGGCCCACCTGGATGTGCCTGACAGGACACCAGTGTGCATGTTAATGTATGTATGCCTGTGACAAGGTATTGGCACAGCACCATGCAGGCTCTCCTAGGCCAATACAAAATTCTCATCACTTTCAATTCTCCTCTTACAATGGTCAAAACAAATTATGTATTACATTCCACCTGACTATTTTAAACAGCCCTGTACCATGGGCTTGTTTTGCATCCTGATTTGGGTGTTCCCATTCCAACCTTCTCATTCTGGTACTGCACTATCCTATACACCTTGTACAGCCACCTCCCCAAGCCATCTTCTGGCAGGAGTGCGCATCTTTCCCACATGCCAAGTTTTGCTTGTGTAAGGGGTTCATGCATGGGTCAGTTTACTGGTCAGGCCTACTCTGGCCAATGCTTTAGCAAAGTCTTTGCATGAGCAGTATATTGTATTGATCAATGTTCCAGTGAGGCCTACATTCCCCTCCCTTTTTGTCGTCTTGTAGTGGAGGATGTCTGCTCATCATCCTGGAAAAGCATAATATGCAGACAGGAGATAATTCAGTGCGCCAGACACTGTATGGAGGTTACCTTGGTATACCCATTTATACATTCATGGAACATTGATCGATCGATCTATTGATTCATCAATCTATCTATACTGCTCATGCAAAAACTTTGCTAAAGCATTGGCCAGAGTAGTATATGTATTGATCAGTGTTCCAGTGAGGCCTACCTAGCTTAATTTACACTTGCGATGGTTTGCTTCAACAGTTGTCTTGGTCCTGAAAAATAAATCTTTTGCTTGCATTTTGCCCTTTTTGGCATTTTCAGGAATTTTATAACACTGTTTTATAGGGCAAAAAGGCACAATGATTAGAAATCCAAGTGGATTTAAAAAAAATGTTAATCTCAAGCTGGAGTAAAATAAGATTGATTCCTTCCTTTTTAATTTCTTATGAAGGCCTTTTTCTCAACCTTACCATTCTGCAAGCCTTTATCCAGCCAGAGTTGAAGCAGCTTCCCCTGCCACTCTACCTGCTTCTCCCTATGCTCCCCCAACTCCATGTGCCCCTCCCCTGCTCTTCCCTGATGCCACATGCCCCTTCCTTGTGCTCTTTCCTGCTCCATGCTCCCCCCAACTCTGTGCCTCAATTTCCCCATTCTTCCCCTGCACTGCACACCCATTTTTTGCATTCACTTCCCTTGCATCCCTTCCCCATACTTCTTTCTGCCTCTCTGCTTCCCCTGCTCTGTGCATTTCCTTCCCCCATAAGCCTCTTCCTTCTCCCCCCATGCTCTGCCCCTGCATCACACATCCTTTTTCTCATGCTCTTCCCTATACTGCAAGCCTTCATCCCCTGTGCTCTCCCCCATGCCATGTGCCCCAACCCAGCTGTATGACCTATCCTGGTCCTGTCTGGAGTTGCAGCAGTTGCTTGCCTGGCCCTTACTCAAATTTTCTTCTCATATCTTCCTGTCTGCATATTATGTTTTTCCAGGATGATGAGCAGATATCCTCCACTACAAGAAGACAAAGAAGGAGGGGAATGTAGGCCTCACTGGAACATTGATCAATACAATATACTGCTCATGCAAAGACTTTGCTAAAGCATTGGCCAGAGTAGGCCTGACCAGTAAACTGACCCATGCATGAACCCCTTACACAAGCAAAACTTGGCACGTGGGAAAGATGTGCACTCCTGCCAGAGAAGAGATTGATGTCATATATCTTGACTTCAAAAAAGCCTTCGATCTGGTTTCCCATGATCACCTCCTTGGAGAAACTGGCCAATTGTCGCCTTGGGTCCTCCACGATCCACTGGCTGGAAAATTGGCTCCGGGGTCGGACCCAGAGGGTAGTAATTGATGGAAGTCACTCATCGTGGTGTCCTGTGACCAGTGGGGTCCCCCAAGGCTCTGTCCTTGGACCCATACTGTTCAACATCTTCATTAATGATGTGGACACTGGAGTCAGAAGCGGACTGGCCAAGTTCGCCGATGACACCAAACTTTGGGGCAAAGCATCCACACCAGAAGACAGACGGGTGATCCAGGCTGACCTGGACAGGCTCAGCAAGTGGGCGGACGAGAATCTGATGGTGTTCAACGCCGATAAATGCAAGGTTCTCCACCTTGGGAAGAAAAACCCGCAGCATCCTTATAGGCTCGGCAGTGCTATGTTGGCTAGCACTATGGAAGAAAGAGACTTGGGGGTCATCATTGACCACAAGATGAACATGAGCCTGCAGTGCGATGCTGCGGCTAGTAAAGTGACCAAAACGCTGGCTTGCATCCATAGATGCTTCTCAAGCAAATCCCGGGACGTCATTCTCCCCTTGTACTCGGCCTTGGTGAGGCCGCAGCTGGAGTACTGCGTCCAGTTTTGGGCTCCACAATTCAAAAAGGATGTGGAGAAGCTTGAGAGAGTCCAGAGAAGAGCCACGCGCATGATCAGAGGTCAGGGAAGCAGACCCTATGATGACAGGCTGAGAGCCCTGGGGCTCTTTAGCCTGGAAAAGCGCAGGCTCAGGGGTGATCTGATGGCCACCTACAAGTTTATCAGAGGTGACCACCAGTATCTGGGGGAACGTTTGTTCACCAGAGTGCCCCAAGGGATGACGACTAGGTCGAACGGTCATAAACTACTACAAGACCTTTTCAGGCTGGACATAAGGAAGAAATTCTTTACTGTCTGAACCCCCAAGGTCTGGAACAGCTTGCCACTGGAGGTGGTTCAAGCGCCTACATTGAACACCTTCAAGAGCAAACTGGATCCTATGACCCCAGCTGACTTCCTGCCCTTTGGGCAGGGGGCTGGGGGCTGGACTCGATGATCTTCCGAGGTCCCTTCCAGCCCTAAAATCTATGAAA